TATTTTCATTTTCAATTTTACTTCAGAGCCTGTGGCTCTGAAGCCGCAGTTTGCTGACCCCTGGTGGCTCTTCTATCTCAAAAGTTTGCCAACCCCTGCCCTTACCAATTCTTAAGACCTGACAGGACACTTACAGAAGCTCTTAAGATATCAACTATCCAAAATTATACTGTTTAGTTTGTCTCTCATCCTCTCTGTTCAGAATAGCACCAAAATGTTTCTTATTGATATGAAGAAGGGGGACACCCACCTCCTCCCCCAAGCACGGATTACCCACTCAGAGAAGCCAGAAGAACCCACAGCTCCTGCTAAGCCCATGACAGAGCTGCAGGCTACAGAAGTAAAGTGTACAAAACACTGTCCTGCTCGGCCTTTTCTTCCAGGGCGTCTGTGAAACAGGGCTCTGGGTAAATCACTTCAGTTTACTGACGAGAGGTTAGAATATTAACTAGACGCCAAACCATATGCGGGTGCTGAATGACTCCACAAATGCCTGCCCTCCCTGCAAGCCATCCTCCCGTAGGGAAACTCAGCTGTGGTTTCCAGTGCAGGTAGCTTTAACTGCCCTTGGGAGCATGGCAAGGTCATCCCTCCGATCACCGCTGGAAGTGGAAGTCGGGTGCCGCTCTGCTCTGCACTTGAGTGCTGACCAGGCTCTGGGGATGCTGGGATGAGCCAGGCAAGGTGCTCACACTCCAGGGATTCACAGTAACATGGCAAGAGGCAACTGGTGGGGAAATCACGGCACACAGCGTCTGCTGCATGACACACGAACACAGCAGTCTGGGAGCCCGCGAGAGGCAGAGGGGGCTTGCAGGGCGGGCAGCATGTGTGCTGGTGCAAAAGGAAAGCAATGGCTCGTGCGGACAGTGCAGCCTCCACAGGCCACGCACTATGGCAAGCTGTGCTTTACTGACCCGTCTCAACCTCAGACAACCGAACTAGCAAAGAAAGGTCAAGTCCTTTGCTAATGGCCACACAGATGGAGTGTGAGGCCAGGGGTAACCTGGCTCCGGGGTCTGGACATCTAACCCCTGGGTGCACTGCATCTCCGAAGGATGGGCTGACGGGGTAGACAGCACAGCAGCATGCAGGTGCGGAAGCAAGAACATCTGAGCAGGTTGACAGGGAAAAACATGCCGCCTGCTGCATGGTGTCAAATGGGGGAGAAGTGGCTAGAGAGAGGCCACATCTCTCAAGACAGTGGTGGGACAGTGAGTCTTGGGGAGGGGGAATGTGTAGGGTGAAAAAGCCCCTGGAGACCTTGGCATGTTGACCCCTAACCTCAAAGACCACTGCAGTGCTCTGGGCCCAGGACTGCAGAGGGTCAGGATGGCAGAGGCCACCACCAACCAGATTTAAGTTTTGTCCTGTGAGCCTGCCAGAGGGTGGAGGCNGCTTGCTGGTCACCTCCTTGCCTCGGGTGCTCTCCAGGTAGAGCCGCAGGTTGTTCACAGTCCACTTGCCCCCGTGGATGTGGTTGTAGTCTTCCTGGCGAAGGGAACGGGGGCGGGGGTCTCAGGCAACGCACCCGAGGAACCCAGGGCCCTCGAACATTTCCCGAGCGCCCCCTCCCTCCTCCAGGTGGGCCTGGCCCCAGGGGAATCTGGGCCTCCACATACGCATGTTTTCAAAATACTCAAGTCTGGGGCCAGCCGAGTGGCACATTGGTTAAGAGCTGGCTTGGGACGCCAGCTCTGAGCAGCAGGGCCCCGGTTCAGGTCCCACATGAGGGCCAGTGATGCTGCGCCCTCTACAGCTAAGATGGTGAACAACAGCTCGACCTGGAGCTGGGCTGCCGTGAGTCGCCGGCAACGGCATAGGCTGCTGTAAGCTACCATGTGTGGCTGGCAGCCAGCTAAGTGGCCAGCAGCTGGTGTGAGCTGCCAAAAGCCGCCGTGAGCGGCCGTCCAGAGGCTGGCGACCAATCTGCCTCACCCAGGAAGAGCGCAATAATCCCAACATGGGCCAGTGAAGCAACGTCCTCCACAACTAGACTGAAGAATAAACGGATAGCAACTTGTCTGTTCCCCTTCCCCAGATTCCCCAGCGCTGTTCTCCTCCCCCAATTCCCCAATAAAATCTTTTTTAAAAAAAAACCCAAAAACAAAATACTCAAGTGTGGAATATTCTCACAATGAGTCACTTATGCCTTGCAGCACATGCTGTGGAAGGTCCCAACCCCCTTTAAGACCAAGCTAGCTCTCACCCTTGCTCTGGGGGCTCCAGCCACCCTGACCTCTCAGCTCCTGCACTGCTCCGTCCTGCCGCAGGACCTTGGCACGTGCTGGACCCTCCGCTAGAACACTCTTTCCCCACCTCCACCTGGGTAACCCCTGCTCATACTTCAGGTCTCTGCTGAAGCCCCACTTCATTAGGGAAGCCTTCTCCAACCACTGGGACAAGGGGACCCCATCATTCCAGGCCCTTCTCCACTTGCATTCCTTACCTTCCGAGCGCACATCTTGGTTGGTGATCACATGTTCATCAGTGTGGTCACTAATGACTGTCTGCCTTCCCCAGGCTCGAGGATCCGTGAGAGTGGGGACCAAGGCAGTTTCTGCCCATCACTGTGACCCAGCACTCAGCACGGGAGCCACCCAGACAGGTGCTCAGTGAGTATTTATTGAACAAATGACTGAGTATGAGCACTCTCACATACTCTCACATAATCCCCCCAACAACCATCTAACCTAATAATATCATCTCCTTTTACAACGGAAGAAACTGAGGCTCTGAGAGTCAAGTTAACTTGCCCAAGGTCACAGAACTAGAGAGGCAAGGCTTGAACCTGGGCCTTCCTTTGTCCCCACCGCAGGCTGGTTCGGCTGACAGCACAGGACAGCCACACGGGATTCTCAGGGCTCCCACTCCTCATCAGCGCCAGGGCATCCTGATACTCTGATACCCACCCGCCGACCAACCCTCTCCTGCAGAAACAGAAAGAGACCCACAAAATCAACCCATTTCCTGGAGCTGGTGGGAGAAGGAACCCTTACCCCATGCTTCTGAATGGCGACGTTGGTGAGGTGAACAAACATGTTGTCCAGCTCGCTGGTGCTGGGGGTGTACTTCACCGTGCAGAAGCGGCAGAACCCCAGCTTGTACCTACGTGGGAATTCAGGTCAGTTCTCTGGAGAGAGGCATACAAAAATAGCACTTTGCTCCCAAACAGGAGCTGTGTCTTGTTTGTTTCAAACTTTTAAAAGCATGGATTTCTTATTTCATTTTTTATGCTTCTTTTTTATAACAGTTTTATTGAGGTCTAATTCCTATGTAACACCTAATTCACCCACCTAAAGTGTATGATTCAATGGTTTGTGGTGTATTCACAGAGTTGTGCAACCATCTCCCCACTCCATTTTACAGTATTTGCATCATCCCAGAAAGAACCCGTCGCTCCCCAACCCAGTGCAATGCAAACACTGATCTTTCTGTCTCTAAAGACTGGCCAATTCTAGGTATTTCGTATAAACAGAATTATACAGTAGGAGGCCTTCTGTGCTCAGCTCCTTTCACTGAGCACGTCTGCCAGGTCGAAAGAGCCGCTTTTTATTTTTAAGACTCACGTTAGCAAGAAGGTTCACCATCTTACTCAGTACTGACAATGTGCCGGGTCTGTGCATACGCCGTGCATCACCAGCCGTCATCATGGCGCTAAGGCGTAAGTGTGACGTCAGAGCACCACCCCAAGGATGGAAACAGAACACGGGGCTCTTACATGTAACAGCGCAGCGGGCGGTACGTGGACACCAGGACATACAAGCGCAGGTCGAACTTCCTCCCGCCAATTAGCAACGGGTTGTTAATATAGAGCGAGATCACGTAGGCTTCCTTATTGGATTGAGACACAAACCTAAACGCGTCAGAGAAAGCCAAAATTAGACGGCGAAGACCGAAGGTGCATTTCGTCGGTTGGTAACCAGCTCCCTGCCTCTCATTAAGGGAGAAAACTGGAGTGAGACGGTGTCCACTGGGGACAGTGGCAGCAGCTCCTGGGAACCCATCAGGGAAGTGCTCCTTGGGCTGACCCACCTGGGGGCTAGCACCGCTGCCACTCCTGACAGGTAAGCCCTCACCCCCGGGAAAGGACACACTGACAGCTGTCAAGGACCCTGCAGAGGCGAAGAGTGAGCCCTGGACGGAATCCCCTGGTATTCTCCATTCCGGGGATCCCCCAAACACAGGGAGGAGACTTGACCTGACCTAACCGCACACGCTGACCGGCACTTGGTGTATCCCAACCTCTCCCATGAGGGTGGTGCTGTCAGTGTCCCCACTTTACCCAGGTGAGGCTCCTCAGGGTCTACACGACAAAATGCACTGACAGTGTCAGGGATTCGAGTCCCAGGTCTTAAGCAGATGCTGTGCCACCTCTGAAATACCGTGACTGGGTGTCACACCAACTTTTGGAACGGAGAGTGGCCTGCTGGGCTTCCTGCTCCCTGACCTCACGCCGGTTTTTGCACATTTCCCTCTGCACCGCACCTCATGGCAGAGCCTACTGTTAATGACGTTACTGCAGCCGCAGAGCTTTGTCCTGAAGCCACGCGACAAATAACATACACCCGGCAAAAGCAAACGAGGGCCACCCAGCCCATGGCCGACAGACTGGCAGATGCCACGAAACTGCCAGTGAGGAAGCACGTGTAACGGCTCGTTTCCCCACTTACGAGGATGTTTTGCTGTCCCGGGACCACTTTTTGATTTGTGAGAGTTTGTTAATCAGAAAGATGCCCTTGCCCTGGGCTTTGCCACAAGGTTTCATGATCCAGGTGCTGGAGGGGCTTTTCCTGAACTCTTCCACGAACAAGTTGTAGTCGGCAGGCAGCATGTAGGTGACCGGAACAAAGTCTGGAAGGTAAAGTCAAGGGCACACAGTGAGCCCGCCCGGCAGTGCCCACAAACAGAAAATACTACAACTGTGTCGTTATCTGCCCCCCACGTGCCCCAACCCGGCATGTGACAGAACAAGGACTTCTGCAGGTCATTTCCTGTACAATAAGTTAGCTTTATTACCTGTGTGCTAAGCACTGTGCAAACCTGTCTCATCTAATCCCCACAGCACCTGTGAGCTAGGTACAGTAAAACCTTGGATTGCGAGTAGCTTGGTTTGCGAGTGTTCCACAAGACGAGCAAACATTTCTAATACATTTTAACTTGGTAAATGAGCAATGTCTTGCAATACGAGTAGTTTGTTTCCAGAATGAATTATGCTCATAAACCAAGGTATTATTGTACTGATATCATTCCTTTATCAGATGAGGAAACGCAGGCCCAGAGAGGTCTCATATATAATTCTGCCCTGGTATGTAAAGGGACTCCAACACTATCCGACAGTCCAGCTTTCATCACCAGACAGGACAGGGACACACGAGCTCCCTGGTTGTCGATGGATGCAGTAACAACCCCTCGTGGCCCTTTGTACTAATAGCTCAGGAAGTGGTCCCCCATGCTAAGCAGAGGACATCTTCTCCCTCACAGAAAGCACATGCACAGGCACTCACAGAAACTCAGATTCCAAACTTGGGCATCGCTCCCCATTCTGGAGTCACCTGGCACGAAAGAGGCACCCACCACAACTTGCACAAACACGTTCACCCATCAAAGCCAACAGTCGCCATCTCAGTGCCTTCTGCCACTGATGTAAAAACTCAACTATTAGGCAGACCGAGTGGCTCAGTTGGTTATGAGTTACCTTAAGAGCGTGACCTCTGAGCAACAGGGCCGCCCATTCAATTCCCACATGGGCCAGTGACACTGCACCTGAGCTGAGCTGCCGCTGAGCTGCCAACAGGTGGCAGGATGGCTCAGCTGGTGAGAGCACATGCTCCTAACAAGAAGGCTGTCTGTTCCATAGTGGGCTACACTTGCCCGCAACTAAGACTGAACTCTGCACCTTGAGCTGAGCTGCCGCCCGGATGGCTCAGTGGATAGAGGGTGCGCTCTTAACAACAAGGCTGCTAGTTCAACTCCCGCATGGGATGGTGGCTACGCCCACCCGCAACTAAGACTGAACACAGCACCTTGAGCTTAGAGGCCACGAGCTGCCGATGGGCAGCCAGATGGCGACTGGCGCCCTCCACAACTAAGACTGAAGAACAACAGTCTTAGTTGGGGAACTTGGCTGGTCCCCCTCCCCAATTCCCCAACATTGTTCCCCTCCCCCAATTCCCCAATTAAAGAAAAAACAAAAAAACAAAACAAAACTCAACTATTTATTTAAAACCTGAGGCCAGTGAAATAGGCACAAACCCAGATAGAGGTATTTTCCATTCTCATCTTTTTCTGCCAGAGGACTCCCTTCTTTCTCCAGCTCTTTCCTGTATCTTTTAATATTCTTCACCATCAGATCCTTCCGGGTCAGTTCGTAGTGGTTCGGGAAATGGTTGACTATTTGATCATCTGAGAGCCGATAGCCAGTTTCGACACTGAAGACGTTCCGGATGGTTTGCACACTCATCCTGAAAGAACAGCACAGGAGGGAAGTGCGGGGGGAAGGCTCAGAGGGTGTCCACGTGGTGGTGTTCTCATTAAAGCCCGGGAGCTCTGCCTGGAAGCGCGCCCCCTCAGAGCCCTTACCCACTGCCCCCACCCCAAGCACCTGGGCCAGGGGCGCCCAGCCCACATCCCACAGCGACACAGGAAATGTGTCTACTGTGACATGAACTGTTGAAGGCAAGGGCTGTTTTGACTTTCTCCCCTAAATGGTTCCACTCTTTGACACACAGTATGTGTTCAATAAATGTTTATCAATTAATGATAACATTGATTATTGATAACCAACTAATGGAAGACTCTTTTGGACTCTGAAGTCAAGAAAAGCATTTACATAATATTTGCACCCACAGTCAGGAAGGACGGTGACCCCTTAAAACCAAAGCCCCAGAGGTTATCTGAGGCCTTACCAAGCACTTCACATTCTTGGAGCGATCTCTGACGGGTCAGCTACACGGGGCTGCACCCCACTGAAGTGAGGAGAGTCGAAAGAGAAATGGGGGCCAGCCGAGTGGTGCGTTGGTTAAGAGTTGGCTTAGGAATCCAGCTCTGAGCAGCAGGACCCCGGTTTGGATCCCACATGTGGGCCAGTGACGCTGTGCCCTCTACAGCTAAGATGATGAACAACAGCTCGACCTGGAGCTGGGCTGCCTTGAGTCGCCAGCGACAGCGTAAGCTGCAGTGCCTGTTGCAGTGGGCTGCCATAAGCTACCGTGAGTGGCTGGCAGCCAGTGTGAGCGGCCGTCCAACGGCAGGTGAGCAACTGCCTCAACTGGGAAGAGCGCAATGATAATACCAACATGGGCCAGTGACGCGACGTCCTCCACAACTAGAGTGAAGAACAAAAGGACACAACTTGTCTTTTTTCCCCTAATTCCCCAATAAAATCTTTAAAAAAAAAAGAAAAAAGAAAAATGGCTTCCAATTGTCTAACAAAGCCAGTCCCCCGGCCGCTCCCATCCGTCTGTCCTCACCAGCGCCAGACGCCAGGCAAGAGCAGGAAGGGTGAAGGGCTGACCTGGGCAAGGGAGCCACAGTCACAGACCAGGGCAGGGGGTGACGGCCCCTCGCTCTGTGGCCTGGCCCCACCCCGCCCCCCTGGGTACCAACCTCGAGAGGGGGCCTGGCGCACCCAAAGGGTTTCCTTTGATTCCATGATCATTAAAACACGTGTTTTTTTACTTTTTACTATGGAAAAACTCAACCGTATGTAAGAGTCGGGAGAAAAGTCTAACAGAGCCCATTACCTGGCTTCAACAGCTGTCGCCACGCAGCCCGTCTTGTTTTGTCTGTACCCCACCCACTTCCCACAAAACTGGCTTGGTTTTCTTTTTTCTAATTTATTTTTAATTATAGCTGACAGCACTGGCTTCTTTTGAAGCAATTCGCAGACATATTATTTCATCCAAAATATTCCTGTGAGAGCCTCTAACACTCAAGGACTCTTTTTTATATTATACAATATCCTATTTTATACTGTTATCACAACTAAAAAAAAAAAAGAGCAGAAATTCCTGAATATCATCAAATATTCAGTGTTCAAATTTCCCTAATTGTCCGATAAATATTTTTTACAGCTTGCGCACATATAAGGGCCAGGCCTTCAGAACAGTTGTTCTCTCTCTCTCACATCTTTTTAAACCTGCACCTTCTCCCTCTCTCCTTTTTTTTATTTCCTATGCAATTTACTGGTTGAAGACGCCAGGTCGTCTTTCAAGGTTCTCCCGGGCTCCTTGTTTGGCGCCCTCCCTGGCCCCTGTACTTCCTGTAAATTGGGAGTCAGAAGCGTGATGAGCTGCAGGTGGACTCTGGGTAAGGCTGCGTCCCGGGTGGCGTGTACGGCCACTGGCGGGCACATCCAGGCTGGGGGCCTCTCCCTGTGGGATGTGAGCGACAGTGCCCAGAGCAGCACCATCCAACAGAGAGAGTACGTGACCCACCGCTGAGCCACATCGGTAATTATGAGTCTTCTACATGAAAAAAAAAATAGTTTGATAGGTGAAAATAATTTTGAAGTCTTATTTAACCCAACATATCCAAAATATTATCATTTCAACACATAATCCACATAAAAATCAGAGATGAGAAGCCTTACGCTTGTTTCTCCGTGCGAAGCCCCCAAGCGTGGCGCGTATTTTCCGCACCGAGCACCTGCACTGGGACCAGCCGCAGGGGAGTGCTAGAGCCCTGTGGGGAGCGGCTCCCACACAGGACAGGCCTCGGGCCTTACGTCATTAGGGTTACACAATGGCAATCTTCTACTCTTTCGTTCCTCCTTCATTTATTAGCGGGAATATTTCTACAAGGAGAAATTTCCTGTCGTCAGCAATTTAGATATCCCCCAAAA